GCAGCCATGTTGGATGATGTTCACTATAGGTGGTTTGTAATCATTCCTAAGGGAATAAAAGTGGCAGCCATGTTGGATGATGTTCACTATAGGTGATTCGTAATCATTCCTAAGGGAGAGAATAAAAGTGGTAGCCATGTTGGATGATGTTCACTATAGGTGGTTTGTAATCATTCCTAAGGGAATAAAAGTGGCAGCCATGTTGGATGGTGTTTACTATAKGTGGTTTGTAATCATTCCTAAGGGATGTACGTGGCGGCCATGTTGGATATTATTCACTATAGTTGGAATGGGTGGTTTGTAATCATTCCTAAGGGATGTACGTGGCGGCCATGTTGGATATTATTCACTATAGTTGGAATGGAATCAAAAAATATCGACCGGTGTCCGTCCACACATATGCACACTTACCATAAACATCCTAGCCCCAGGCAGAAAAAGTAATCATCATCGCAACTGTTTGTTAAATACGCCTTTTTATCACTTTTTCGCTAGTGTTTGTACTAGTTCCTATGGTTACTTACGTTACAAATAAAAATCTTCGGATTAATTTTCAACCAAATCCGGTTAACTCATTAATCAAAAAACTTAAGCATTTCGTGTTGACCTTGGGGCGAATGTTTTCATATTTCAGACCACGTGTCATCCCCTTGTTTGAGTTGTATCCATATTCATGTGTCTCCTAATGTGCATTGCGTTAAACGAAGAAATGATACTCTAGAAAATGACATGTCTTCTGAAATGGGAAAACATTACGCCCAGGCCRAATGGGTCAATTCTTTAAAATTTACTTTTTTATGTAGCATACATTTTTTAAAAGCTTTCGAGTAAGAAGTCAAATTCACAGAAAGACTGTGCCGGTTTTTTTATGTATTTCTTTCCTTTCTTTAAACTCTACCTTATTATAAGATGTTTTGTGCAATGCTACACTGCCATAGATGCCTAAACTACAATGAAATTATAAAGACAACGGTTTCTCAGTTGATTGCTTTTTTGATCATAACAGACCTTTTTCAGCCGATAACGTGGCCATCTTGAATTCTATTGTTTTACGATTAAGACTAATAGCTGTCAGGGTGTCTTTTTATATAGCTTTACCGATAAGAACCACATCTAAAAAAGAAATTGAAAATATGTGAAACACCAATATTTTAAATTATTTGAAAATTACGTATATGTACGTTTGCCCACTATCCCATAATTCAAGATGGTAAAAAGTAGTAAAGAGATCTMTTATGACGTCTTTTCCGTTTTTATGCAATTTTCTTTGTCCAGTTATGTATTGTTGTTCGTTCGAAAATTTATATTCTTAATTTCTTACTTGGTAATAATTATTTAATAACCAATGAATAATCGAAAATAAATCTCCTTAATTTGCTTTGAATGAAGCACTAAAAGTTTGATGATATAGAAACAACACAACAGTTATAGCAACAACCAAAATATTTTTGTTTTAATAAAACAAAATGGTGGATATATCAAAATAAGAATCAAGAGACCAAAAATATGCTCTCTTGTCAGAATACGATTCATAACAATCAACTTGTCAGAATAAATTTATATCATTAAGCCTAATTACTATACAAAGTCTATAAATAATCAGAAACATTTATATATCGATTGAGGTGCATTATGAGGTGCGTCAGCGCATCTAAACTGGTTCATAAAATAAAGACCAGATGATTAGACTCTAGTGTACGTAAAATCTGAATTCAGCCATTTGAATGAGTCCTCTGTACCCTGCGAACAGAGTCTCTCGCCCGTAGAGGAGTTAAAAGGAGACTCTGCTCGCAGGGTAGTCCTCTGCAGAATCAAATATAATTCTATTTATATGAATTACTTTATAGTCGAAGTAAATGCAAAGTAACAAAGAAAGGAATGATCATAAACGATTAAATCCGAAAGGAAATTTAGGTCCCATCRATGGTTTTGCTAAAAAGTAATTAAAGTATAAAAATAAAAAATAAGCTCCCTAGATAGATGAAAATAACTGTTTTAGTATATATTAACAAGGTAATATCAAAAATGTCAGTCTATACCTTCAAAACTAGATTACCTAAAAAAATTGTTAAAATTGTGTCTTGAACAGTTCCAAGTGCACGTTTTCAATTAATGGTTCATCCGGCCGGATCCATCATTTGCATTTCTACATGTTATTGATATATTCACTAATTATAGCAATACATTTTAATGTTGTAAAGATTCGTAATCAGACCTTTAGTCAAGACTAGAGAAGGGAACTGAGACACCAGCAAAATAACAAAAAGGTTCTTAAAAAATGTATTTTATTTGGTTTATAGTGTAACACTTGTCCCTGGATTGATGCTGTACACCATTGCTGACGATTTCCACATCATTTATAGTGAGGTAAGTCCCCTGGGAAATCTTCATAAATAACACTTTTAGGCCTGGCTAAACGAGGAAACACGTTTCCAGAAACATGTTTACCGCGCGTATGTTTCCTCGATGTTTCCCAGTTTAGTCACATGCGAAACATCGCTGCGTGCAACAAATTTTGCTTCGAAGACGCGAAAAATGTTTTTGCTGTGCGGCAGAAACATTTCATGTTTCCAAGACGCATGGAAACATTGTTTCCCGATGTTTCCTGACAGTTTTGCCACCTTAGGAAACATTTAGGGAAATATGTTTCCTCGTTTAGCCAGGGCCTCACATAACAATTATATTTTCTATCCCCCCTCCCTAGTTTTTCCTCTTGTACTTTCTTATGTATCTGTTACCGGATGTCAGTTCAAAGTTGCTCTTTTTTAAATATAGAATATTTGGTTATACTAAAGTTGTTTTATTGCGACATTAAATTTTGGCGTTGATAGACAAACATCGAAGAAGCCATTGAAATTGTGCTGGTCAAACACTTCAGTAATAACGAGAGAATCATATCTGTCTTTAATTTTTTTTTGCTTGTCTCATTTAGGTGTAAGCCCAATCGTTATACGACAGGTAATGTAAACTAACTAGATAAAATTAGTAATCGTTGTGAAATTATCATATTCAAACTAAGTAAAAAAATAAATACGCAGTTTTAAATAATCCATTAAAAACTTCGTTTCTACAATTTAATTTTTAATTTAAAGAAATAACTAGTACGATTAAATATTTCAAACGTGTCGATCAAGCGCCGGAGAGAAGACATTGCCACAAAACCATATGTCACCACTTCTCCGCGCTGACAAGTTTGAATTTTATTTGRGAGGAAGAGTAAAACCGGAGATAATAAATACAGACAAGGTGGCGAAAAAGGAAGCTTCAACATAAACAAAATGTAAAAGGTATTTGATGCCGTCTATCAGAAATATCTGACGATATTTTGACTCTACCTGACTGAGATCGTTCCCTCTCTCCTCTCTCGCTAGTTTTAAGTACTTATCGAAATTAAGCTTTAAAATGTCCAATTTTCAAATTATCTAGTTCTATAATATGTTTTAATATGATTGCATGGTTTTGTTCATAATCGCGCCACMGAAACATTTTTCAATTTATTGAGTTGGTCAAACAAGCCAATGATATCAAAAATATATATCTATTGATATAAATTCAAGAATACAAAGTGTTAATAACACAATCGAGATGTGAGAAAAGCCACTTAAATTATCACACATAAGAACTTAGAGTGGAGTTTACAATGTAAAGTACTGCTTTGGCCGGTCGTTAATATTTTATGCATTTTCGGTAAGGTACTTAAGCGCACAAAAGGTGGCTTTGYATCACTATTTATCCGCAGTTTGAGCAAGGTAAGGAGTTCAAAACTAAAGTCCTTGTGAAAACATTACGAAAAAGCTGAAATTCCACTTTGGGAGCAGCCATGACTGGACAGCTATCACTAGATTCGTAGCTCTTTATTTTACTGTATAAATTAATAAAATACTTTGTGTTGTTTTTCTTTCCAAAAAGAAAGCCGGAAAGAAAAAGATGGCTCATAGTCTGCACAGTCTTGTAGTTGTCTTAACTGTTACGAGACTGGTCGGTAAGTATTATTTGTCCTTTGTTTTTAATGTCATTGCTTGAAGTTCTTTTATCACACTAGTAACAATTATTCACTTGTAATTGGATTTTCACTATTGAATCCTTATATACTTTTTTTTATAATTTTTTATTCGTAACGATACTGGATTATCTGCTGAGCCGTTTGGATTGTTCTAAAGCTAGTAAATTTTGTCATATGGAAACGAAAAGAAAACTAGACAATTTCAAACAATGGAGCTTTCTTAGTTATCCAATAGTCGATTATCGTCGCTAAAAAATTTTTTGATAGATGTGTTGATCAAATGTTTCAATTTTGTTCGCCATACGTTCATTTTCTAATTTATTCCCAAAATCATTGAATTATCGTCTTATTTTTAGTCTTTAACTCAAAAAAAAAAAAAAAAAAGGAAAATAATTAATACAACAACAACGAAAAAGGCGGGTGTTTTTCAAAACATTTTCAAAAACTAGTCTAGCTTTAGAAAGCTGCCATCTGTTATCGAAGACACGTGTTTATTTCGCGATGTACTATAAACTCCAAAGCAAATCAAATAAGCCACAAGGTGCTGTTTAATATTTTGAATTTAAAATTTTCATTTAACCATCAAACCGATATACGGGTGGCTTAGCGGTGAGAGAGCTCGCTTCTCAACAATGCGACCGGTGTTCGATTTATGGTTCAGACAAAGATCTTTAGCATGACGTTCTTCTTGGTAGGTACCGCAAACGTCATAACTGCAGTTCGACGTCAGGCGTTTTCCGTCAAATTTTATGACATTTAGCAAGGAATTATAACGAAGTTGTTGCTGCCATATTGAATTTCATTGATGCTAAAGATTTTTTCCGTGCAGTCGGGCGTGTTTCTGGGCCTGATCCCTAGTGGCTAGCGGTAAACCTGATGCTAAAAATCCAACCACTGTTTCAGGAGTTTTCCCAGTGGAATTAAAATCTTGTCCCACAAACACTGTCTATCTTTTTTCAAACGTACTACAAGAAATACATGGAATTTTTTTCTCTCTCGCAGGATAGTAGAAATATATGTAATCAAATAATKAACTATTTCTTGCGGTCAGATTTTACAATTTTAAGATATTCGTAACCTAAATTTCAGAGCTTGTGGGGCATAGCAAAGATAACTTAGAGAAAAGCTATGAATTCCCAGACTTGGTCTCTCATACGTGAGTAAAGTTTCTAGATGCATGGTYCTCTTGTGTGCTCAAAGGCTTTCCTCTGGGTTAGCCGGTTTTCCTCTAACTCCGCAAAAATCACCTTTTTAATGCCAATTCGATCTAGGAACGTGTGCCAAAGGTTTGATAGCCGCTAGCAATTAAGTGCTACCCTCGTAAAGCATAAACGATTTATATCTAAGAAACCCCAAAACCTCCTCCAAAATATAAAACCAACAAGCACATAAACATTTAGGTCCAAAAGACTTACTTTTTTCAATCGTAAATCTTTGATAATATTAATCAACCAGGAATATGATAAGACTACTAAGAGAAAAAAAACAGATGGCGGCAAAAACACCTGTTATTTTTGAATATGATTCATCAAACTCTACTCTTTGTGGTTTTGCATTAAATGATATATCTTAATTGGTCAATAAAATTGTTGGAAATGCATGAGTGTTTGTTTGCTAAACAAAGTCCAGGGATCCAAAGAAGTGCACTCAATTGTCATTCACGAAGATGTCTTTTGGCAATCATCAAGGTTTTTTGACGTTGTTTTTTTTAACTTCGCTTAATGAATAATACTGCCAATTTAAGCATCTTCATAGCTTCTGAGAATTATGAGAATTGTGAAAATTAATCTTGTGGCCAAAACGTAATTATGTTTTRTCATGTTTCATAATATTTGTGGTTAAAACAAGATATCTATGCCATAAACATGTGTATACCAAAACGAAATGTAGTGTTTAGTAGAAGTTAGATAGTGTTCACTATAGGTGGCAGCCATGTTAGATGATGTTCACTATAGGAGGTTTGTAATCATTCCTAAGAGAATATAAGTGGCAGCCATGTTGGATGGTGTTCACTATAGGAAGTTCGTAATCATTCTTAAGGGAATAAAAGTGGCAGCCATGTTGAATGGTGTTCACTATAGGTGGTTTGTTCCTAAGGGAATAAAAGTGTCTGCTATTTTAGATGGTGTTTACTATTCACCATTTTCCATACATCGGTTTACTGGTCAAACGCAAAGCATTCAGTCGAGGTTGCAAGGTTAAATAATCCTTTGAAAGTACCTTGGCGCCTCGCTTGAGCGCTTTGTGTTTGACCAGTGAACCGATGTATGGAAAATGGTAAATAGGTGGTTTGTAATTATTCTTAAGGACGTTAGCGGGCATTGTTTGCGCGCAGCAATTTCACGTATGAGTTTAGTGCGCGTGCGGGGCAAAATATTAAGAAAACCCATTTTTCACTTCTTTACGGCAAAATGTCTCGGGAACCAATTCGGTGACCCCCATTTTTCTTTATGTTATAACTAAAATACTACCAAAATCTACAAAATATGTAAAATTAAAAAATTCTGATTGCAAGGGAATGATTGACACCAAATTTAGGGGGAAAATCAACCTGTTAACGAATTCAAATTGTACGCATTTTGAACTTATCGCACGGATTGAAAGTTTCATAAATCCTTATCACTAACCCATACTCACATGCTTTTAATTCAGAAATAAATAAAATAAATAAAATTGTTTTCTGCATTTCTTTGAAGTTTTTGATTTTTTTCGAAGTGTTACTTTGATCCCTCAGGTTACTCTATAGCGCGCGGCTTTTCCCCCTCAATGAATTCCCTTAATTCCACAGCGTTTAGCAAGAAAACGATTTCGGTGACCACCCTTTTTTATTTCATTTTTCGAAAAATGAATGTTGGGGTATGTTTATGCCAAGTTTAAMAAATTTTTGACTGCAACTTCATTTCCCCGCGGACGTCCTTAAGGAAATAAAAATGGCAGCCATGTTGTATGATGTTCACTATAGGTGGTTCGTAATCATTCTTAAGGGGGAAATGTGGCCATGCAGCCATGTTGGATTAATTGCTTAACAAAGAAATAGTTGAGTGACATCTTATCCTATCCTTATCTTATCCTGTATTTCAGATTGTATCAACTATCAACAGCTATTATTACGAGACTTGTTCCGCAATTACGATAGTGACGCCAATCCAGGGGGAACCGGAAATGAATTAAGTGCAAAAGGAGCATCCGTTACGTTTGCAGCAAAGCTCGTTAGGGTGATTGAACTGGTGAGAGATTTGATAGTTTGCTTGTCATCTATAGATCTTTATCACACAGCGGCCATGTATATTCTCACGAGAAAAAAAAATTGTTTCATCCGCATAAATTTATTTTCAAGTACTTAATGCAAGGCAACGCGTTCAAACCAACATGGCTGCCGCGCTGTATTTGTCTCATATTTATAATATTCTACAACGAGTAATATTTTTTGTAAATACAAACTCACTGACCTGTATTGTTATCTCCTATAATCTTTTATATAAGTGTAAATAAAGAACTTGAACTTGAACTTGTGAAAAAGGCCCATTCACTCTCTCATTCATTCAACCTTTTATTCTAGTTTCCTATGGATATGTTTTTTTTAGTTTATGTCTGAGTTTGTTTTTTTTCTCTTTTCATGCTCTGTTTTTAATCACAGGAATTATTTTAAAATAATAGTTTTGAATAAATTGATAATTTAATTAGTTTTAATGATGGTTGTCTTAATTGTTGCACAGAACGAAAGAGCCAATACCATACAGACACAATGGTGGATCCAGCAGGTATAAACCGTTCCCCAAAAGGAAGAAAGGGAAAAAGAAAGAAAAAGGAGAAAAAATTCGGAACACCCGCTCCAGTTTTGAATGGGCCTTATCATGGGGCAACCATGTTAATAGGATGTTTGCACGTTGGCGTCATTGACCTCTACTACCAAACTACCTTGCACACTTTCTTTTGTGCACCAACAATCTTACTATTTTCATGAGGGAATACAAATTAAATAAGAAAGAAAATTTGCGAAGCATCTTGGTAGTGGTAGGAAAATGATGCCATCATGCATTACGTCCGAGACGAGCAGGTTTAATTATATGTTCCTGTGAAGGTCCGTGGTCCGAATTTCAAACTGTTTGTATTATTGAGGTTGTGCATTCTTTATTTTACCATTGGTATTTGTGAATGTTTTGAACTGAAATGAAGCTAACCCTGAGTAAATGAGTCTATAATCAAGAACCACAGTACAAACATAAATTATCTCACTTTCCAAACTATATATAAGCAAAGATAAAACGTAAAAACGAAGCGCGGCGACGCAAATCATTTTCAGCTCTGATTACGTTGACACTATACACATGATTTTCAAACACGTACCGTGTTGAAGTTCGTACGTTACACCATCTTGAAGTGTAACCAAGTCCTCCTCGCTACCCAAATCATCGAACACTACAAGATAAAAAAGATATATCATATTAGTATTTAACAAATATTTGCGCCACCCCCACCCCTCCCCTACTCCTCACTTCCCACCTGTACACGTCCCTTTTATTAATAGCTTTCATTGTTTATATAAAGAAATGGATTAACAAAGACCTTTCATGGAACAAGACCAAATATGGAAATGTGACAGTGGTGTACGTGGACCCGAAAAGGGTCTGGACACCAGATATCCTTCTCCACAACAGGTGTGTATGACGTCAACTGTAATTTGCAAACTATGACCGGTGAATGAACCATACCATAAATAAATCACGAAGTTAAACTAAAATAAATGAATAAATAATGGTATTTTAAATAACTAAAAGCTAACGGAATGAAAGCTAGAAAATCTGTTAAGATAAATTAAAAGAATATAGTCTGACAAACAGACAGACAGACAAACGCATTTGTTTGCTTCAGATATAAAAATGTGCTTTCATATGTAGCTACATTGTAATAATAGAGTGAAGGCATTTAACCCGTGAAATAATGAATACTAGTCAACGTGTAATAGTCAAATAGACACAAAAGAAAACAATGGAATTAAGGTCTATTAAAGTATATTAATCAAATATCTATTTCAAGGGTTTAATGACTTCACTCATCTGTGGATGGTAATTGGCTTGTGAATGGCAAACAGAATGTTTACGATCAGACATGCTACGATAAAACGCATGTCTTGAACGCAGACTTGCATGCTGGGTAATAAATAAATATGCATGCCACTAGCAAAAATATCCGGCAGCCGTCTATCTTCTCGCTACTAACAGATTGAATCCAAGACCAAAGGAACTCTCATATTCCGTGCATGCGCAGTTAAGGAGGAGGACTAGAAAGCACTTCATTTTCAATGGAATTATGGGTAGTAGAAATGGAAGCTTTACGAAAATTGTTCTTGAATTTCAGCAAAAAGAAATAATTTATAGCGCTGTTGACCATAATAATTGGGGCCAATGCGGAAACGAACAAGGAACTGGTGCGAGTTTTGAATTCAAATTTAAACTAGGAATAACTTTTTGTCGTCTGAGAAAGCATCTCAATAATAATAAGTCAGGCAAATTTAAATGTGTTTTGCTAAATAGAACGGATAAAACGATGCCAACATTTTTTAGAATAGAAATGTTGGTACGGGTGTCAAGGAAATGTTTCAGTTCCAAATCAAACTTGATCCAAGATTCATCCAACATTTAAAAAAATCACCTCCCAACATTGTTGGAAGATAATAGGGACCTTAAGCTACAGGACGGCAACGCGGGCGACAACGTCGGCAAAATTGAGGCGCTTCAACCTTCTATTATATTATTATTTCGTGTTTAACTAGTATTTTACTCAATAAGCATCCCCGTTTTAGAGTGAAATGTCGTCTTTTGGGAGCGCTTTACTTATCACGAAAATCAACAAAGATAAACTTTTGGCGTAGCCGTTCTCTTTAGTACGTAAAAATAGGACATTTCACGTCTTACTTTCAGCATAAGACGGCAATGATGCACAGTATTTCGTACATTCCAACGAGTTTCTATTGAATAGCGCAATTAGTGCTATTTTATGTTTGCCGTCGTCGTCGTCGTTGCCGTCCTGCTGCTTAAGGTCCCTAATGAYTAACCGTCCCCAACATTTGACCCGACTTGTTGAGTAAACGTTGGTTCAAATGTGGGGACCGTTTGTCAGGGCCTTAGTGACTGACTAAGCAAGTGACAGGCGGTCGAAGAACAGGTAATCCTAGAATACCAGATACGACGTTTCAGTTTACAGTTGGTAATTTCTTTTTCCCCCTACAGACGCCTCTGCTTTGGTTCGTTTAACATGAATGAATATGTCTGTCTGCCTATTTGTCTGTCAGTCTGTTTGTCTGTCTGTCAAACTTGCTTTACTCTTATTTTGTTTATTCTATTTTGATTATTTGTTTGAGTTCAGTAACATTTGGATCGATTCTATTTGTACAAGTTGTATATTTACGTTGACATTGTATTGGCTGTCCCTTTGCACTTATATGGATTCTGAATTTATAAATCACAAAACACTAGCACTGTTAATTTTTCATACACCACTTTACCTTGTGTAATGTTTTCCCATTACAGACCACGTGTCATTCTTTTAAAAATAAGGTTCTTTGTTTGAGTTGCATCCACATTTATGTGTCTTCTCATGAGTAACCGTTTAACAAACGAATGATACTCTAGAGAATGACACTTACCACCTTAACCTTAAAATCTTTTGAATTTGAATTAAAATCTTTTGAATTTGAATTTTGATAAATTTTGAAATGTTTTTCTTTTTATTATTATTTCTTCTCGTCAATTTTAATGTTAATCATGTTTATACTGTATGTAAATAGTATGGAGAGGGAATATCAATTGGGACGAAAGTTCTGTTTTCTTCGCCAGTGCACAAAATTTGTATGTCTCAAGTTTTATAAAATGTATATGTTTATATTGTGACAAATAAACTAAACTAAACTTGGTCTGAAATGGGAAAATAAAACACTGATGGCAACACGACGAATTAGGTCTTTTTTCTTCTTTAACGATGACAAATACACTACAGCACGTGTTGATGTTGTTGATCGCCATGTTACCCTTACACAGCGTTCGATTGTTCGACAGTGCGGCGGACGACGATCGCCTTAGCGGTAGCACCGATAAATACAAGACAAAGATTGGGATTTACCCTGATGGACAACATTACTGGCTGGCTCCAGCTATGTTTAAGAGCGTCTGTGACGTCAATACAAGGTATATGTGAATCACATGCTCAAAACTGTTGAAACCTTATGATTTTATCGAATCTTGAAATAACCGCGCGCTGGGCTGATCTAAGTCAGGGCACGGCGAATTTACAGGTTGATTGAAACCTAAAATAACATCTGCGTTTATCTAAGTCAGAGCACGGCTAATTCACAATTCGAACTGGAATTTAGCTTGTTGGGTTTTGCGAAGGAAGGAAGAACCCGGGGGAAACCCTCGAATCAAGGGAGAGACTTAATCATACTTAATTTCTTACTTTACCGTTAGCATTTATGAATATTATGAAACGGAAGTGAGGCTAACCCTGAGTAAATGAGTCTGTTATAGACCCCGTCTTGCACTGAGTCCCGAGTGGAGATATTTTGGGAGACAAAAAAATGGATTTTTTTGCATATTAAAAGACGGCCTATCGTTCAATTGTCCCCCAGAACAATTTCTCTAGGAAATCAATGTAAGGGGTCTATAAGTTTGAAACACCGCGGTTATTTGGAACTCGAAAATGGTCTAATGAGATGCATATATTGTTGTTATTTAATCAGGTTTTTCCCGTTCGACGATCAGACGTGTACCCTACAGTTTGGATCCTGGGCGTTCGACAGTTCCAAGTTGGACATGATTTTTGACCGGAATGAGAGCGGAACCAGCCCTTACCAAATGAACACAGAATGGGAGCTATTGGCTTTTGATGCTACATTGAAATATGTTAGTAATGTTTTTGTTTAGTTTTGTTTTTGCCGAGTTTCATCCAATATGGCGGCCAATCATCACGTGACCTTGATCTAAAACATCACATCACGTAACATTTTTGTTTACCACGAAAACTGACGTAGAATCTCTTTTTTCTCTCTACAGACAAAATACTCTTGCTGCCAATATCCTTACACAAGCGTGCTTCTTGAAGTCAAACTAAGACGTCGGTTCTATTACTATATGGTCAACCTTGTCGTGCCTTGCTCCCTGATCGCCATCATGGTACTTTTGTCCTTTGTACTACCTCCAGAGGCTGGCGAGAGGATTAGTCTTGGAATTACCGTTCTCATGGCAATGGCTATATTCCAGGAACTGACGTCAGAGAAACTGCCCGTTGAGTCAACCCACACACCATTACTAGGTGAGATATGATAAATTAATGTGGCTTAGGTAGATATATGGTCAGTAAAGATAATGAACCACTTCGAAGATACGGCGGCCATCTTGAATCGCAAGGAATTATGGGGCGTCCAGTAGTTAGTTACAGTAATGACGTTGATTGATATTAAAAGCTCACCACAAGAGAATACAACAAAAGATTAATTAAGACGGCACATCGATTACCTTTAGCAATAAAAGCAAAACAAACACACCAAACTCTATATATTTTGCTTCATCTTTGTTTTGCCCCCTGGCAAGATGGCTGCCGTATCGTCGAAGTAGTCTATTTTAAAATGCAAGTTCCTTGAACATGAAAACCTTCACTAGATGCCAAGATTTGGTTGCCATCAACTATCCTTTCCTCTCCTCTCTATGACTCCTTATAACACTCTCATGAGTTTTTGGCGCTACTTCGTCTATGTGTCATCCTAATTGTGCTCCAAAAATTATCCTTTCAGCCCAATACTATTCCAGTGCAATAGCAGAAATCGGCCTCGCTATTTTTGCYACTTCAATTATCCTCAACTTTCATTATCGCAAGAACAAGATGCCAAATTACCTTCGAAAGCTGATCTTCTCGTTCGCTGGCCCAATCGTTGGCATGAAAAAGTATAAGGATTTAGCAAGATCGGAGAAACTTCTGCGAAGAGGTCAAGAGCGAGCAAATGGAACGTCAAACGACAACGAACACTTCAAGAAAGGAAACAATTGTGAGTTAAAGTCATTGAGCCTTCTACAAAACGATTTGATTGCCTGTGAGAAAGAGCCAAGAAATGAGTTCCAACGCGGTAAAAATCACAGCAGCATCCGGGAAACTCACATTCTTGAAGACAGTGAAGATAACAGCGCTGACCAGGAAGACAAAGGTGATAATGTCGAGAAGGAACTCGCGGACATCTACGCTAAAGAATGGCAGGAAGCGGCCCGAATCCTTGATCGACTAGTTCTTCTCGTTGCCATTGTTGTGTGCATCTGTACTTTTGCTGCTATTTTTATTCAAGCGCCAAGAGTTCAAGAACATCTTTTTGGGGATCCCGCTATCACGGAGGAGCAGAGATTACTCCTCAGAAGAAAATGAACAACACTTTCCTGGACAAAATAATTGACTTTTTGCGAGTTTAAATTACCGCTTTGTTCCTTTAGCAAGGACTCATTTACTCTGGGTTGGCCTCGAATCAGTGCCTAAATATACACTAATACCAACGATAAAATAAAGAATGCACAACTAACATTACGCGGAATACTTCGAAATTCAACGAACGTTYACTGGAGCACATAAATATGCTGCACAAAATTGAGGCTAACCCTAAGCAACAGAGAAATCGAAACTGGAGTATTCGTTTATCAGCAATTGTTATGTAGTCATGAACGGACCTTCGAGATAACAATAATAATTAATAATAACAGCATTTATATCATTAACACATCGTTGCATTACAAATAAATTAATTACGATGTGTTTACTAGATAATAATAAACGAAAAATAACGAAACGTTTATATAGAACATGTCTGCATCGGTTACTCATAACCGCCATCTTGGTTGACGATAACAATGCATTCCTCATTAGCTTCTCTTGTTAGGTCAACCAACATGGCGGTTGTGTTATCATCGTTATTCATATCTCGAGGGATTTTGAGGCACGTGGTTGCACACACTGTATTACTTATTCTTTATTAACTGAAAATGATATCGAGGCTTTGCACCATCAAGTGATGGCAGCCGTGACAGGAGGCAGGAACAATTGAATCTGGTCTAATCTGATTTACAAGAGAAAGAATTCCGTTTCCTAAGGGAAAAAAAAGACTATTTTTGTGCCTCCTGTCATATCTGCCTTCACGTGATGGTGCAACTTTATACTTTGGGGGRAAATTCTGACAGAATCGCTTTATTAGCATTTGAACAAGGTACGAGTGTTCGAGTTCCTAGTATTATAATGATGGAGAGGCTGACCTAAATTCAGGCAGGTGCTTCGAAAGAGGACCCCGGCATAAATKTTCCTGATAGTTTTCAAACAGAGTTTATCACGGCGTACTTCCTGGCTAAAGGAAGAGACGCGAAAGATCGATGAAAAATTGCTGATAAATAATGTTATTTCTAAAATAAAATAAATACGATGGTAAAAAACACATTTTAAAATTGAAATTTTGACCGAGAAACACCAGCGTTTATTTTTAGCRTAGAAATAATCAATAGACCTCATTACCTTGGTCGTAATGTCAAGTGTCATTCCACTTATCATTTCTTTGTTTACCGGTTGCACATAAGACACACGGATGTTTTTTATTTTATATTATTTTATTTGGAGATTTACCAAAGGCAGGTGGTAAATCACTCTGGATAAAATTAAACAGAGAATCCTATTTTCAAGGGAATAGCACGTGGTCTGAAATGGGAAAACATTACACCCAAGGTAAAGAGGTCTATTGAAGAGGGGGGTGAAAGTCACCAATAAAGTCGCCTAGTCTTATTTGTCACGTCACTTATCAAGCTGATAGGATTTCAATTTTCTTCTTGTCAGTCTTTACTCGTCAAGAGGAAGACTTGGTTTTAGTGAAATAACGGTACAAACAGTTATGTGTGAAAATGAACCAATCAGAAATTAGTAACAACCACGTGATAGTAATGAAACGGATATTCACTTTTTGGTTATAACTTTTTAAAAATGATCAATAATGTATAATTGATAATTCTAAAAATCATAGAAATTAAACTATTTACACTTAGTTATTGAATAATTATATCACATAATTACTGGAGTTTCTAACTGATATTTTATTGGCTAGCAGGATCACGTGACATTATGGTAATTGCCTTAAAAATTCAAATAGTAATTGAAACTTAACATGCTGGAAGGAAAAAGGAAATTATGATGCGTGATAGACACCATGTCTCACATGACGCCATATTGGCTAACGTGAGAGCCACTGTGACGATATTCTGGTTGAGTGATCAAGCGCGAAACAATCCGAGTCGAGGCTCCGTGGAAACAATAGCATAATCGTAATTATTCTTGTGTTACCTCGGAGCCTCGACTCAGATTGCTTTGTTCTTGGTCACTAAACCAGCGAGCCTGTGAATGTTATGTTGAAAACAGCCTGGTTTGTCATATATTGGATCTTTACCTTTGATTGTAAGGGACCGGTTATTATTTATCTAGAGGGGGTGGGAGATGTTTTTGTGAAAGATGATTTTTT